TGGATGTTGGTCACTCTCTTTCTTAAACACCACCAACACCCACACCCTGTTCAGTGTGTTCGTAACAAGGAATGCAGAAGCGGAGGCGGGGTGTAGGGTGGTGTGCACCCTCGCCTCCAATAATTGAAAATATTCGAGTTTTTTCAAGGAGAGTAGTAGATTTTCTAAGCGTTTTACCCTTCATTTGCAAAATTTCGTCACAAATACTATCTTTACAACCTCCTCTCAATATTAGACCCTTCGCGCGGCCTCTGGTTCGTAACCTAACCCAGACACAGTACTTGTACCTATTATGCCAATAGCAGCGTAGTCTTCAGAAAGGCTCATCGCTCGTAAGTCATAGCCACCGTCATGAAACGATATATCTAGGATCACGCCTTCGCAATCTGGCATCTTACAGCCTGCGTGCTCCCATATCGGGCCTACAGGAGATCTTCCTGGTTACCGTAGGTGAAAATTTGCCGACAAAAGTTGGAAACGAAGTGAATAGCAATGCAAATCATTTTATGGAAAAAACGAAAAAAATATTTACACCTTTTTAACATCGTTAATTCTACGAATCGTTTCCATAATGTGAGGATCTGATGGTGAAAGTGTTTTTTGTTGGATAGCAAGCGCCTTTTCGAGAAATGAAAGTGCTTTGGAGCAGTTGCCTATGTTGTCATACACTTGACCAATGTTGCCATAAGAGATAGCCAATGAGGGATGATTCGGAGGCAGAGCTTTTTCTTTTATTTCATGAGATTTTTCGTAAAACTCAAGTGCTTTCCAGTAGTCACCCATGCTGTTATACACTAGGCCGATGTTGTTGTATGAAATAGCCAAGTCGGGATGATTCGGAGGCAGAGCTTTTCTTATTATTTCTAAGTCTTTTTCGTAAAATTCAAGTGCTTTCGAGTAGTCACCTATGTTTAGATACACTCCAGCAATGTTGTTGTAGGAAGTAGCCAAGTCGGGATGATTCGGAGGCAGGCCTTTTTTTGTTATTTCTAAGTCTTTTTCGTAAAATTCAAGTGCTTTCGAGTAGTCACCTAGGTTCTGATACACCCCAGCAATGTTGTGGTAGGAAGTAGCCAAGTCGGGATGATTCGGAGGCAGAGCTTTTTCTTTGATTTTATGTGATTTTTCGTAAAATTCAAGTGCCTTCGAGCATTCGTGCGTCTTATTATACACTTGACCAATGTTGTTGTAGAAAATAGCCAAAATGGAATAATTTGGAGGCTCAGATTTTTCTTGTATTTTAAGTGCTTTTTTGTAAAATTCAAGTGCCTTTGCGTGTTCACCCATGTTATCATATATTGAAGCAATGTTGTTATAGGAAATAGCCAATGAGGGATGATCTAATGACAGAGATTTTTCTTTTATTTTAAGTGCTTTTTCGTAAAATTCAAGTGCCTTTGAGTGTTCACCCATGTTATCATATACTGAAGCAATGTTGTTATAGGAAATAGCCAATGAGGGATGATCTAGTGACAGAGATTTTTCGTAGATTTTACCCGCTTTTTCGTAAAATTCAAGTGCCTTTGAGTATTCCTTCATCTGCATATGTGCTCCAGCAATGTTATTATAGGAGGCAGCCAAATCGGGATGATGCGGGGATAGACTTTTTTCACCTATTTTAAGTGCTTTTTCATAAAATTGAAGTGCTTTCGTGTAGTCACCAATATTGCTATATACAGCACCGACATTATTGTAACCAGTCGCTAAGTGAGGATGATTAGAAGGAAGCGTTTGTTCATTGATTTTATTCGCTTTTTCGTAAAATTCAAGTGCGTTCGAGTGTTTACCCATATTGTCGTAAACTAGACCGATGTTGTTATAGGAAGTAGCTAAATCAAGTGGATTTGGAGGTTCAGCTTTTTCCTTTATTTCTAATGCACTAATGTAAAACTCAAGTGCTTGCGAATAGTCACCCATCTTATAATACGCTACACCGATGTTGTTGTAGGAAGTAGCGAGTGAAAGATGATGTGCTGGGAGACTATTTCGATGAATCGTGAGGGATTTTTTGTAATATCTTATTGCTTCTTCGTTCTCACCTAGTTTCTCTTTTGTTAAACCAAGATTGTTATAAATATTAGCTTTTGTATGGTCATCAGATGCTTGTTGAAGTAGTACGGTATACAATGCTGCAGCTTTATTGAATTCGCCTATTTTCATTAGTAGATTACCCATGCGTGGCCATCCTGCTGAACTTCGATCTTCTTCTCGGATAAATTCTGTAAGTTGACGAAGTTGTTTGTCATCATCTGATGTAAGATTAAGATTCACTTGATAAAGTTCATGATTTTGGTCAATTTTTTGTACTATTCCAATTCGAAAAACGGTATGCATAGAGAAGAGGGTTTCATCTTCGCGGAAATAATTCAAGTCCCGAATGTAGGCAAAGGGAATAGATGAGACGTTCAAATCTACGGTCATTTGAAACAGGACACCTACCATGCTGTGTTCTGCTAATACACTTTCAGCGAAGGAGAAAGCAAATTGACGATCTCTACTAGTAGATAAAAAGTTATTGAAGGATATTAGTCCACCTTTGTTTTTCTGCAACTTTTTAAAGTCGTCTGCCGATAATCCTTGTCCCCGAAAAAGTTGGAAGATCCTTTCACAACGAAGATTGGCCTGTTGTTTGTTTAATGCTACAATTTGGTTATGAAGATCACGTATGAAAAAGCCCATTTTCATAATTGTCTCGGTTTCAAGTGTTCGAAGAGATCTGTTGAGCATACTATAGACAAAACTGTCACGAGTATACCACCAAATTGATGATTCTGGACGATAATCACGCTTGAATTCAGCGATACAATCCAAACGCGGTGAATGGGCCATACAGTCTTCATGCCACAACTGAATAAATTCGTTGATTGCTTCTTTCCCATGATCAATTTCGAAGAGAACATCCTTCAATAGCTGAGTGTACATAAAAGAAGGTTCCAGTTGATCGAGACTTTTATTGGAAATGTCTTGATCAACATTGACATAACTTATGGAGATGTTATTTTGACTGCATTGCCTATTGGTCATTTTTAATGCTTCACAGATGAGCATAATTTCTGTGTATATACCTCTAATTTTGTTCCAGCTGTTGCTCCAATCTGTGTGTACAACTTTATTATCGCGTATGATGTAAAAGCTATGAATTTGACGAATGTCATGAATGAGAGGTACTACTTTCTGGCCTATGGTTTCTGATAGAATGAAGAATGCCTGTTGATCTTGTACTTCAGTCAGAAAATTAACACATTCATCAAGCTTCTTAAAAGTGTAAGCGTGATCGGCTGCGCTGCACAGTTGCTTCATCGTATTTTTATAATCTTGCTTTTCCAGATCAATATCATTATCGAACCATATAACGAAACAATTCCCAGCCATGTGCTGTATTCGTTGGATGGCAGTCGATGAGACTGCTGTGCTTACAGTGGACGTCGTTGTTGACTTGGATGTACTGTGTTTTGGAGTTTTTTCATTCATCGTCAGGATATATTGCGGTTTGATCACTAACGAAGAATGCTGAATAGGTGTCTGTCATTCAAACAGCGGACAGGAGTATATGCATTCTCAACATGAGAACTCACACCTATATTCTCAAGGGAAGAATCAAGGTTGTTATGGCTATAGGAGTATTTTCTAAAACATAGAAAGATAAAATTAAAATGAGTTATATTGTGCGAACTCTATTATATGGCATGATGGAGGCGAACGAGTCAGTGAATAATGAAAATAGGTGAGCTTAATTATATAATTAAATTCTTATTTGAAATGAGCAAGACTTTTCAGGATAATTTACCAAGACAATGAAAATAAATCTATACTATTCCTACTTCTACCAGAAAAAAGCGCAGAAGACACAAACATAGTTATTAAAAGAAAGCAATATCATATTAAGTCATTTTTTTGTTTAGACTATGTGCGATTAATCTCAGGATGACTAAGCGATAAAAGGTCAAATATTGAACAAAGCTAAACGTTTAAGTTTTATATGAGAGTGACGAGCAATTTCTGGAATAACAGTATGAAAAAAAGAAAAGAAAATGTTTCTTCATTCTGTTACTTCTGCAAAATTTCCGGCAACCATCACCAGAAGTAAAAAAAACAAAGAAGTAAAAAAGACTGACATTCCCTGTTCTGCTGTTACATTTTCCCCGAAGAATGATGAGGAATACTCGCAGAATAATCAGCTAAAAAAACAAGAAAAGGAAGGCAGTTTTTTTTACTAATAGTATAAGTAAAATAAAAAAAACATAAGTAGGCATAACTAGTTTTCTCTGTTTTTCTGTCAAGAAAAATTAAGTTATTGATGCAATTAAACCTTTGAGGGCAAATGTTTTTTTAATCGAAAAAAAATTTTGGCAACGTTATTTTTAATTTTAACTCAAAATATCTACATAAAAATTATATGATAATCACAAACACCATTTTTTTCATCTTTCAAACAAAATGGCAATTTGTTAGTAACGCACTCGATGTTGGATCGAAAATCTGCTTCTTTCGTGCTGCAATAAACACATCTTCTTTTTCCTTTCATAGACAAATGCATTGCATTATCAAAGTTTATTGTAAAAACGTTATAAAGAAATAAAGAGTACAAGTTCGAAAGAGAAATGATATACTTTGCAAATTCAAGAACAATGTAAATTCGTCAATGAGAACAGAAGTACAGTACCCGCCATAAGTCGAGGTGGCCTCTTTCTCTTGTTCAACAATGATTATTATTTTATCTTTTTGCTTTGTTTGAACGGGTTAGCCGGGCTCATCATCCGGTATAAATAGGAGCATTTATATTCATCCTGTTATCCATTTATAGCTCAATAGAAAATGAACCTTTTTTTAAAAGAAAAGGCGAGAAATTATCTTTCTATAAAGACAGAGCTATTCCCCACATATATCAAATGGGTGTGGGTGGGTGTGGGTGTGGGTGTGGGTGTGGGTGTGGGTGGGTGTGGGTG